CTTTGCAGGGCATGTTTGGCAAATATGTTTGCACGTGGGTGGAAAATTGAAGGTTTATACGTGTAATGCACATTACTCCGTTATGTTTTGGCCTTGGGTTGAAGTGTGGATTGTCGGTATTCCATTAATATAGCCCTTTGCATATCTGAAGCATTCGATCGTGTCTGGCATCCCGTACTAATTGATGAGCTGCCATTATATGGTTTGGATATTTACAGTATATGTAGTTGAAGGTAGCTCATCTTATACCTTCGCTATTAACTCTGGCGCATCGTGTGGCTCTGTTTAATCTACAACGTTATTTATTCTCTGTATTAGTGACGTATCGTTGTCCACTCACAATATGGTCCAATGCTTTGTAGATTAGATTACATTACATCCGTGCATCGTATTAAGTGAAATCACAAGTTGCAGCAAGAGACATTCCTTTGCTCGGTACACAGATAAATACTTAAACTAAATAACTAAGTCAGTGATAACGTCTAGTGGGGCTGGCAACTCCACAATTATTCCGATCACATTTAACAATGATATTCTTAGCTATCATAAAACCACGAATCTGTTTGGCACAACAATCGCATGTGGCATGTCATGGAATAGCTTCAGCATCCAATTTCTGGCTAACTAGACATCGAAGAAGCTTGTGTTTTTTTTATTTCCGTGCCAATGCCTTCGTCTTTAATTCTGAACAGCGCAAATCCACCATAATTTCAACTTCCATTTCTTTATAAACGTTCCGAGGAGGGACATCTTCTCTCACTTCTCAAGCATCCCTTGCCCCATGTTCCTCACGTCTCAGCCAAGGCCTCTCCACTGCGACCGTTTGTCAGCGGGTGAAACCACAAATCATCTCCTTCTGACTGCGTACCTCTCTCTCTCTACATGCTCACTGCTGATTTTAAGACACCACCAACCACTCCATCCTCCCACAAAGCAAGATCCCTGACTTAGCTGGCCGCCTCTCCCGTTTGCGCTCATACAAATCGTACCGCTCCCTCCACGTCGAAGTTCCTCCCCGCGTAAGGGGCCATCCATTGAGTAGGTACGCAAAAATCTGTCAAAACTTGACCCCCCCTCCCTGTATGCACGTGTACGTTTCACACCCCCCCCCCCCCCCCACCTGCATATGTACGCCTGACGCACCCCACCCGAATCCTATAAGAACGGCCGATATTCAATCCACGCAGAAACGATCAAGGATTAATAGTATTAACGTGTTTAGGCAAAGAGATAGTCCACTGCCGGACTATCTAACTCATTTGAAGGCCAAAGTAGAAAAATTATTTTTATCGAGGTTTCACCCCCCCCCCCCCCCCGTTTCCTATGCGTACGTACATTGTCAGTAGACCCCCCATACGCAAGCGTACTCATTTGGGTTAACCCCCCCTCCCCCCTCCATGCGTACGTACTAAATGGATGGCCCCTAAGCCTGGCATAGGCAGGCCCAAGAGTTCGACATGGGCAGTCTGGGGGAACTGGCATCTGCGTCGGAGTGGCAGGAATCGATTTGGATGGCATTCGGATGGTACATATACAGTCTTCAACTCTATTATGGTGTACGTACACAGTTTTGTTATAGACCTAGGCGGACTGAGAAATATGTCCGGGTTAGGCCTGCGGAGAAGGTGATGACCCTACATAAACTTCGAGGCGCAATCTCGGGCTTGTATCTCTTCTCCATCTCCTCCCATTTAACAAAATTGTCTCCAGCTTCTTCACGTCAGTCACAACTCCTGTACAGAATCCGCCTAGCTGTATATAGCCATTGACTCCTCGACCCGTGCTCAACGCCTTCTCTCTCAAACTGCCAGCATTTTATCTAAAACTTTAATGGCAAAGGAAATTACTGGAGCTCTGTTATCCTCACCATCCCGTATCACCGCAGCCCTCACCGACATCCTCTCACCTATTTCCACAGCATCGCGCGCTTTCAGACGAGCGCTTCTGCGGCCGTCTGGAACGCTCTTCCTTCCAATATGAGGAAGGCAATGGAGCTACTGTATGCTCTTTTAAATAATCTAAATTGAAAACGAATTTCTTTATAACTGCTTTTTGTGTTTAGTTTGTTGTCCTTCACCCGCACCTCCGATTAGCACGGTTGGCTACGTACGGTGTGAAAGAAGATCAATATACATTAATATGCCACCCGCCCCCACCATTGCATTACAGCTTTTTGAGATGTGGTCCCATGTATATGTTGTTGCATTGTACTGTATACACATTTATCTTATACTAGCGGGAAGAACCCGGCGTTGCCCGGGCGAAAAATGTATTTCAAAACTTATCTTAAAAACATTACATATGCATACACAGTTACTAAGCTATTGTGAAAGCCTCGTGGGCCGTTTATCCATTTCTCCACCAACAAAATTATAAGGGGCTTGCAGAAGTCCAAAAAGTTATATAGAAAGTGGGGGGTAAATAGTTGATATAAAAGGTTTCCGAAAATTGTCGACCCCCCCCCCCCTCAATTGTTTTACCGCCGCGTAGGTATATATACCTACACGCCCTATATACAACAGAGTAAGTAGTATCTACTGACTCTATAGTTGAATCTACTGACTGTACAGTAGCATCTACTGAGCCAGTAGTAACTACTGACTGTATAGTAGTATTTACTGACTGTAGCAACTACTGACCGTAGTAATATCTACTGGCCCTACAGTACTATCTACTGACTGTAGTAGTAACTTCTGACCGTAGTAGTATCTACTAGCCCTACAGCAGTATCTACTGACTAGATAGTAGTAACTACTAACTCTATAGTAGTATCTGCTGACTCTATAGTAGTATCCACTGACTATAGTGGTAACTATTAACTCTCTATCAGTATCTACTGACTCTATAGTAGTAGTATCTACTGACTCTATAGCAGTAGCTACTGACCATAGTAGTATGTACTGTCTGTAGCAGTATTAACTGCCCATCGTGGTATATACTGACTGTTTTAGTAGTATCTATCAACTTGATAGCAGTATCTACTATCACTACAGCAGTGCATACCAACTTTGGTGGTATCGAGCTATGATTACAGCAGTGCATACTGACTGTGGTGGTACCTGCTTAACTACAGCATTGCATACCGACTGTGGTGTTATCTGCTTTCAGCACAGCAGTGCATACTGACTGTGGTGGTACCGTCTATCACTACAGCAGTGCATACCGACTTTGGTGGTACCTGCTTTCACTACAGCAGTGAATTCTGACTGTGGTGTGACCTGCTTTCAAAATAGCAGTGCATACTGACTGTGGTGATACCTGCTTTCACCACAGCAGTGCATACTGACTGTGGTGGTAACTTCTATCGTAGAAGCAGCGCATATTGACTGTGGTGGTACCTGCTATCACCACAGCAGTGCATACCGACTGTGGTGGTACCTGCTATGATAACAGCAGTGCATACTGACTGTGGTGTTACCTGCTTTCAAAATAGCAGTGCATACTGACTGTGGTGATACCTGCTTTCACCACAGCAGTGCATACCGACTGTGGTGATACCTGCTATCACAGCAGTGCATACCGACTATGGTGGTACCTGCTTTAACTACAGCATTGCATACCGACTGTGGTCGTTCCTGCTATCACTACAGCAGTGCATACCGACTGTGGTGGCACCTGCTATCACTACAGGAGTGCGTGCTGACTGTGGTGGTACGTGCTATGATTACAGCAGTGCATACTGACTGTGGTACCTGCTATCACCACAGAAGTGCATACTGACTGTGGTGGTACCTGATATCACCACAGCAGTGCATAGCGACTGTGGTGGTAGCTGCTTTCACTACAGCAGTACATATTGTGGTGGTAACTGCTTTCACTACAGCAGTGCATACTGACTGTGGTGGTACGTGCTATGATTACAGCAGTGCATACTGACTGTGGTGGTACCTGCTATGATTACAGCAGTGGATACTGACTGTGGTGGTACCTGCTATGATAACAGCAGTGCATACCGACTGTGGTGGTACCTGCTATCACTACAGCAGTGCATACCGACTGTGGTGGTACCTGCTATCACTACAGCAGTGCATACCGACTTTGGTGGCACCTGCTTTCACCACAGCAGTGCATACTGTTGTGGTACCTGCTATGATTACAACAGTGCATACTGACTGTGGTACCTGTATGATTACAGCAGTACATACTGACTGTGGTGGTACCTGCTATCACTTCAGTAGTACATGGTGGCTCTATAGCAGAAAATATCGACTCTATAGCACAAAGTTCTCACCTGACAAAGTGCCGTGGTGAGGCCTAGTCCCATGCAGAGCCCCCGGCCTCGCCTAGATTGCCCAGCCGGCTGAGGCTGGGGGCTGGGACGCTACCCCCCCCCCCCCACCATCCCCCCGCCCGCGCTACAATAATACTATCTAAGCGCTATAAAATTAGTATCTACCGACCCTATAGTAGTAAGTGCACATATTGGGGTGGGGGGGGGAGATGACATGACACTTTGATGAATTTACCTCAGCATTGTGTGTATTTTTTTTTGCATTTTGAACGCCAATGAGAAATCCCCCTCTACCAATGACGCGCGTGCATTGCCAGGGGCAACCATGTGCAGCTTGAACGGGGCGGGGATATAAATACATATAAATCACACAAAAACGCGAATTTAACTAATTTAAAGGTGACGGACGTGGAAAAGGAATAGCCTATGCCAAGCACGGAGCTTACGGCGTGGTATCCGGCTAAACATGTTTTACGTAGACCCCGCGGTTCGCGAGCACGTACGCAGACAGACGGACGGACAGACAGACAGACAGACAAAAAATGACTTTTATATTTCAGATGATTGTGTAATTGAATGACACTTGACACAAGGTTTCAATACTTATTATTACTCTACATTTCCGCATTATAATAACATTTCACCTCTAGCTCAAGATCTTTTATGAGGCCATTGCATTGAAACTATACCGACCAGCCTCTCACATTTCAGCAAAGACCCAATCAGATCGTTCGATGGGATCATAAAAAACTGTACAAAATTAGGTTACCTTCGCAAACTCATCCAGTGGTCTGTAGAGTTCAGTGTCTGGTATTCTGCCGAGCAGTTTACAATCTGGCCTAAACCGGAGAGACAAAGCCACAGCATGCATTTGCTTTCATCACAATTGTGTATTTATCAAAGAAAAATACTTTAGTTCTCACCGTTGCATCCTGATTAAGTCCAATGTTGCCAGAGCTCATAAGCTAAGCAGGATTTAGAATATTGTTATTACTCTGAAGGGAAACCACCAGGGCTTGTCAGGTGTTGTAGGCATGGCTGCAAGGGTGGCCAGAATATGGCAGTGCAGCAATGGATTATTGACTCTATCTGTGTGGAGTGTTGAGCATCACCCCCTTCCTTGTACGTGTGTGGGTCTTCTCAACGTACTTTGGGTTTCACCCCACAGGCGTGACTCATCAATCGGTTCAATGCAGGACAAAAAAAAACAGTCTCCCAACTAAGCGAGACTTTTTTTTCCGAGAAAAGCAGTGGCAATACATTTTAATCCCATTACATCGTGAGAGTGCATACATAAGTGATGATATTTAACGCCGTATGCCCCTGCCATCTCACCATGGTGATTATGCCCAGGCGTCCTTCGCACAGACACACACACACTTGGCGTAACCACGCCACTCAACACTGCCACTGTTGCACCTTGGTCGACCGTGCGCTCGCCCGTGCTGCTTCGTCTCGCTCACCTCTGAGTGCGGTAGACGATCGTCAGCAAGGAAAATGCCACGGCGACACCCAGGCCCAGGTCCACGTTCAGCAGCAGGACAGCGAGCCAGGTGACGAGCCAGATGTACTGGAAACCATGCACGGCACTCTATTAGGCTAGATCCACTCGAGACGCTTGACATTTAACACTCGTACACTAATTATTCTGAAAAGGGATACAATAATTACTTATGATGCACCACGGCACACGCTTGTAATCTAGAACGGTGGGGTGGGGGGAGGATCACACAGATTTTTTTTGCATGGATGAGACCCACCTGTCTGGGCGGAACAGCAAGGTGCACATATGTGTCAGTGCAGCAAGTAGGCTGTTGACTTGCCTGTGCATGTTTCAGAATGTTATCTCATTATGTGTGTTTTTCCTCTGGGGTCTGCGGTTTTATCCCACATTCTGGCAAATCCACAAAGGCGTTGGTCAAATATCATGTCAGATTCTCTTGAATTAATCTTAAGACTCAGATGATGCTTTCATTATGACGTGATTACACGAACCCAGCATTACAATTCCATCTTGACGTAGAATTGCTTTTGGTGGCATAATTTTGCGACCGACTTCCCAACAAATATTTGTGAATAATCCAGTGAAAAGAAAATTCGAATTACTATCACCATACTACTCAGGCATAATACTTTGCTGCACATAATCCAGCATTTCATGTGACGTGTTTCCTTATCCCTATCGCTACAATGTAACAAGTGCTGTGATATTATGGGGTTTTTCTAGGCAAAAATTTGCCCAGCTATGATTTATGATCACAGCAAATACCGTCAAGTGATTTTTTTATGTTTTTGGCATAATAATTTTAAACTTGTGATGACCAGAAAGATAGGCCCCTTACCTCAAATTAACACAGTTGGGTTCGTACAAAAGTTCAACATACGTATAGGTAGCTCAGAATCCCCGAGTGTCTTTTGTTTTCATTTAATTACACGCTTATTCATGGGCTCTCAATATTTCAGTGCGATTATTTCGGCATTTTGTTACAATCAAGTGCTTTCTTTCGTGCATTTTGAGATAATATCGTCGTCTTTAAAACATTTTTAAACGTTTAAAGCCGTTTGTAGTGTATACTTTAATGAAGACCGTCACCCTTTTGTCTTAACCCCTGTGTTTGTCACTCGTTTGTATACATTTTCATCTTTTTACCACAACTTGAAAAACAAACTCCCTTAAAAACACTTTGAAAACAGCTGGCCTTTGTAAATAATGTACCCACCACGAAGCACATACTATAAATTCACTCCCAAGATAATAAACCCGAGGAACTCTTGTTTGTATAGCTGCTTCTAACAATTTTACTTATTGTTTGTTGATATTGGGTGAGCGAGAAAAAAAAGACGTACGCTGCTCCCCTACCCCTTTGTCAGGGTCACGTCAGACCCCGACTTCATCTCAGCCGGGAAGGCCCCAGTTGAGCTGAGCAGCTCAGTTGCAAAGACTACCACAGCCCAAGACCATTGGCAGTGGCAACAGTTACAGGAGCACTTTGCAGGGTGGGAATCTGCAAATATTATGACAATCGTACACAGTAGTCCCTTTGTTAACGTTTTTAATCCTTTCCACGAAAACTACCGTGAATCGAAATAACTGTTAACCGGATATAGAAATTACATGTTTAAAGCATTAATCCGTTCCAAGGCGATCGGAAGTTGACCTTTTTGACCCCAAAAACATAGTTTATGACATTTAAACACTAATTACTTTCCTACGCCTCTTTTCCTTCTGCAGATTCAATTTTGGGGGCGTTGCAATCACTATTGATTAACTTATAAGTTGAAAAATAAGTAAAAATCGCTGAGTCTGCAAGAGAGCTGTTTACACTGCCAAAGCAGAAAACGCAATGTAAACAAAGCCAGTCGAGGTCTAAATGCTAATAAATGGGCGTCGCTGATTGGCTGAGGGCATGGCTCAGCCCCAGTTATGAGGGCTCGGATTGGCCGATATTCATCAGAATTTTAACGTTCATCGAAACCATGAGGTCCCTATGGGAGGTGAAACGATAATCAAAAAACAGTTAATCGATGTCACTGTTAACCAAGGGACTATTGCATTCAAATTCATCATGTGAGAATATTGATTTGAAAAAGGTTAATATTTGAAAACGGCTCGCCTTCTGATTACGATAATTTGTGACACAATTACAGCATAATGCGAAACTATGTCATTTGCTTCACGGTACGGTACTTACAAAATCCACCTTGCTGATTTTCCACAGTTGCTTCAGGTCAGTGAAATGCATAAGCATTCTCTTTAGGCCCACTACAATGATGCACGCTAAAACGGACTGCACATACACAAACATTGCAATGCACGCTATTGAACAGCAAACGTGTAACAATAAAAGGTTATGACATTTTAACACCACATTGTTCTCAACAAATAACAGACCCCCAGCTTGAGTAGAGACTTTCAAATGCAGTGCTTAAAATTTCCGCTCGCTTTACTCGGTGTAGTTCGTTCAAGACAATATTCCTCCACAGTCTATGACATAGACTGCTAGAGGCTGACTGTTACAACATAACAGTAGAATTTACATCACTGTCTGAGGGATGCTGTTGTGTAGGGGCAATGCCCAATACTACTTTGAGCATGCAAATATCTATATATGAGTACACGTTTTGTGGCATTCTTCATCTCAGATCAACTACATTTCATTAGTTTCACAATTCATCATTGCTCGTGAATTACGCCATCAAAGCCGAATACACGTCATGGCAGCTATGTAAGGCGGGTGGTCGCAAGTGATCATAATGTATGGGAATAAAGAGAAAGTTGGACATACCCTCTGTAGAGCTCTAAATAGAGGTCCCACAGCCAGGAGGACAACCAACACCACCATGGTGGATATGCCAGAGGCTAGCTGCAAGGTCAAAGGTTACCCACAATAGCAAAAGGAAACAAAAAAAATGTTTTTGCTTTTGCTTCACAAAACATGAGCCCGTTACAGCCCATCGCACAATCCAAGTCCAGGAGTCAACAATCGCGGAAAAACCATCCCGACTCAACTGAGCCGTATGCAGGGGGTTGTGGGAAAAGAATGGTAGTAGGGGAGGGGGGGTGTGCTGCCCCAACTAAGTGAGGCTATCATGGTGGTGGTGGGGGGGGGAACAAAACATTTTTAATTATCTTGAAAATAAACACATCTGTATCAGGGGAACCCCCCCCCCCCATTAAATTCCCTTGGGTATTTTCCCAAAAATATTGATTCTGAAATGTGATTAATAGTGTTCAGCACAGGTGGCTGGTATATGACAGCAGAGTTGTCACTAAAGGATTACAAAATCACTCTGGCTACGTTTATGAATGATGATTATTATCATCGTAATATTTTTTTTTATTTCTGAAATGTTCGCTATTCTTACTTGTAAGGCCAGTGAGCATGAGGATGACAAAGGCACATTATAGGGAGGTGATTCACCCACTGTAACAGCACAACATATTAACCTTATGGCGGGACCCCGGCTCTCACATAAACTACGTTACTACATCATTTTATGTCTGTTAAACGCGAACGATACAGAAATATATATTCCTCTCGACGGGCTCTACACGATGCGCTAATCAAAGTTTCTAAGTTTTGTTTATGACTACGGCAATTTTGGCAATGACATGACAACAGAATGATCCGCCCTAGGTGGGTCGCGGCGTTTATGTGTGCGGTGGGACGGAGTCGCCAAAAATAAATAAATAAATTAAGATATATATTTTTTTACTTCCGTTTATTCGGGACCCCGGGGTCCCGCCATAAGGTTCATATACACATACAGCTTTGTGTAACGTGTAAAATGTAAATTAAACAAAGCGTGTAATTTACCATGTGAAAAGCTATTACTCTGATTATGGGAAAGCCTCACTGAGTGTGAAGACTCTTTCTCAGCAAGGGGCAATGATTCCTATCTGATTCACAAGTAACTCATTTGCAAGTCATTGTTAAAAATTTAACAGTAAGGTTGGCAGACAAGGGCCTACTTTTCTCTGAATGACCTTACGTGACCGGTGAAGCAGTGGCATGTCTATTTTTACGGTAAATACAATTGGGCTTGATCGGCCGTCTAGAACGCTGTTCTGTCGGATATTCGGAAGCCATTGGAGCTATGTACTTTTAAATCTAGATTGAAAACTCATTTCTTTCTAACTGCTTTTTGTGTTTAGTTTGCTGTCCTTCCCCTGCACCTCCGATTAGCACGGTTGGCTACGCATGGTTACGAAAGACGTTCTACATACATACATACACATCTGCCAGATTAACCAGGGTGGCCTGCCAGATTCGAACCATGAACCTCTGCAACAACTGGCAAATGTACTACCGCTGGACCATGTCAATTACCATATTGCCCTTATAACAATTCTTGAAACTCAGTGAAAATTTCCTTGATAATGGCAACACTTTACCTCGGTACATCTGAGAACGCTTTACACGGAGTAAGCGCCTCGCACCTCATCTCAAACATTAGAGAGGGCACCCCCAGTGGCAGTTGTCCCTGTGCGGCACAAGGTGACAACTCAGCACCTGGTTCGCAAGAGGACGTTAGTCTGCCAGTCAGAGGCGATGTTTTGCTGCCGTACGTGTAATCCCAATTGTTCTAAAGTGACGGTTATTGTACCTGCGTGTTCCCTCCTGTCCCCTCCTGAATGGAGGTCCTGGAAATAGAAGCCGCACTTGGAAAGCACTGGAAGAATGAGCCAAAGAGGTTGCAAACTCCGTGCGCAAATAGTTCCTAAGAGAGATGACACAAACCATGCAAATCGAATCAAAATACATTTCTTGAAATATGTATGTAGTGCCTGATATACGGTTACCATCACCGTCATTCATAAACTCGGGGTAACCCCAGTGTTAAATGTTTGTTTAGAGAAGCCTGGTGGATCCGGAAGAGAGCCCCTACCACTGTGGTTAGGTTAAGTTAAGTTACCGGTAATAATTGTTTACTTTTGTAAAAGTGAATCATGAAAAAGCAGATACCAATCGTGCCTGAAGAGGAAGCTTTTCGATTACTACACATTGTACGTATGTAGAACTTCTTTTGCACCGTACGTAGCCAACCGTGCTAACCGGAAGCGCCAGCTTCGACGTCACAGACAAAAGGAGAAGAAAGAAAAGCTCAAAAGCGTGGAAAGAAGCGTGAAGAGACGCACGCTTCCAGTTACACTGTGAGACAGAAAGGGGAACACGTGCATCAGGGAACGATCAAACATGTGACGCTGTCAGCAACGAGATAAACTGTTTACAGTCATAGTGACTGTGAGGAAAGGCTTGGGATGATGGCCGATGGAAGAGACTGGTGACGGAATGGCAAAAAACAGGAAGAAAAAACACGCCCGAGAGGACGACCACTGCAGTGCAGGTGCAGGAGCGAGATTAATTGTCGCATCGCAGGACCGTGAGGGAGGCCATTTTCCAGCAGTGGAAAGACAAGAATAATGTTTAGTTTTACATAACATTGTGAATGCAAGCTAGAAGGCAGCCAGGCGGCGAGCCGGCGAGCCGGTGCCAGCAATCACGCAGGCTCTGCAGTCCTCTACATATAAAGATATTTTCAGGCAATTAATGAGTGTTAGCACACGCACGAGGAAACCTGGAGTACCCGGAGAAAACCCACAAGTGCAAGGGGGAAACACTCTACGCCATACAGAAGAGATATGTGATATTGGTCTACACTTTCCTGCACCTCCTGGCGAGCCAGAGTATGGCTCCTCCTTGACGTCCACGGGAAGGAAGTTTCGCTACATTCGTACAGTGATCGACCAACCCTCTCCTGCACAGTGCAGGATTACAGGCGTTCAAATCGCCACCACCACCCAGGCACGATGGTGCTTTATTCAATCGCTTTTAACATTCAGTGCTTCCGCAATTTTGTTTCAATCATGGATTCTGGGCAGAGTGCCGAGCCAGTTGGTATGAGGGCAGGGGAATCGACGTTTCCAAGAATTGAGAGTGTGGTGGCACACGCCCGTGATTTACTGCATTGGAGGCACAGGTTTGAACATCATGCAGATTTGCGAAACTCCTGAAAGCCGCAGAGCTGAGGTAGGCAAGCAATCACTACTACCATTAACCGTGCCCAGGTTTGGCAATCAGGTCGTTGGGTTCACAGGGCAAGCGTGCTAACCACTTAAAACTAAACTATTTTTTTTTATTTTACCAGGTAAGGTCCACTGAGCAATATATAGCTCTTTTTCAGAAGCGAGCTGGGCACAAATGATAGCTGGAAAACGTGGTGTATCATGATGTAACGTATAACAGCAAAATACTCTAAACGCATGTTTCCCAAAGTGGAGGGATAAACAGGAGGACCCGGAGAAACATCCACACAACCATGGGGAGAACATGCAAACTCCAAATATACAGCAGGCATCAGGCTCGGGATCAAACGCACAGCCTCGTGTATACAAGGCGAGGTAGTTAACATTTGGCCACCATGGCTCCCACTTCACCATTTCCCCAAAATGCTGTGTATTTGTCACCTAAACATTTAGTTCCACTGCCACAGTACACATTTTTGCAACCCCTTTTGTTTCAACTTTGTAGTCAAATTCATAAACTACACCCTGCTGCAGGCCTAAGGACCAGTACATAAGACAGCTTGCACTGAATTATTTCCCCATGCCGGGTTTTTTTCTAGATGAAAACGTGGCAGACAAAATTGGAAGGATAAATTGCTCAATGAAAAGTTGAATAAGTAAAGGGCTTTGAAAAACCAAGATCAACTGAACAGAGGAGCAGTTCTCCTGCTCATGAGCTCCAGAATTAATTGAGCGTCTAGCAGCGGAGGCCTAGAAGAGTTAGAGCACAATGGCAGCTTCAGATAGAGTTATTTACTTACGAATTGAGATCGAGGATAAGGGAAAGGGTTGACCATGTTTTTCCTAGTTTGAGGGTAGGTTCCACCATAAAAGTAATGCACTTAGGAGTTGTAACCTATTGAAGAATAAGTAATGTAAAGCCCATCCACTGCTGGATGAAGGCCTCCGTATGCTCCATCAGTCATGGTGGTTGTTTGATCATTCTGCACCTCCCTGGACATCGCTCACCACCAATGTTATCCGTAGATGGTCATCATACTCAGATTACTGAGCTCATAAAATCATGGTGGTGAGATGTTTTCTCACTCGCCTGGTATACAGGAGGTCGTGTGTTCTATCCCGACCCTGACGGCTATATATTTGGAGTTTGCGTGTCTCTCTCCCCGTGGTCACATGGATTTTTCTGCGGGCCCACCGGTTTTCCCCCTCCACATTTAGAAACATGCGTTTAGAGAATTCGGCTGCTATACATTTCCACGTGATAAGCCACTTCGTTGCGCTATCATTTGTGGCCAGGTCACTTCTGAAAAAGAGCAACATAGCTCAGTGGGCCTAACCTGGTAAATAAAAATTGTTAAAAGCTAACCTCTGTGCCACACTCGACCGCCCTACATGTGTTATCTATTAACCGGCTATAATCACTACGCTATGAGGCAATTCTTCCAAACCAATGATACTCCGAGACCCTATATGTCTGCATTACGATGGGCATCATGGGCGTTTTCTTGATGGTATACGTAGACCTTGACTGGACCAAGTAACATCAACGCAGCCCCTCTCAGTAGAGTTCGTTTCCAAGCATTGCAATGCAGTGCAGTGTAATAGCGCCGGCTGGTGGACAGCAGCGGCAACTGTGGTGGACAGACAGCGCACAGGCCGGTGAGGGCGTGCACGGTGTGTTGGCAGCACGGAGGAATTAGGGCAAGGGTCACGGAGGACCCCATCTGGAGGCCCCTGGAACCTGCTGGCGGGTTCGAGAAGGGAGGCGCGGTCAGGGCGGAGCCAGGCCGCGCTGGGAGCATAAAAGAAGCCGAGAGCGGGGAGCTCAGGGCTGCCGGTGCTGGGAGTGGACTCGCCTCGTCGTAGCTGTTGTCTCGTCGCTGTCGTCGCTAAACGTCCCCGCTAGATGTTGTGCTACGAAGGAGAGTAGTTGGCTATCTCAGTCAGCGCCGTCAGTGTTAGACGGCTGGCGTTGTGTACAGGCTAGGCTTAGCTACTGTGGAGACTGTGTGGACCAGACCGTGGAAGTTGTGTTTAATAAACAAGGTGTCTCCGAATCAGTGACACTGCACGTGGTTAAATTGGCGTCCAATATTGTAATACCTGATTGGCGTCGACGGTATAACCGTGCTTCTTTGCAAAGATCTTTGCCAACGACACAGATACGGCGTAGCCAACGATCGCTATCGCCAGCCCGTCGGCGATGAGCGAGGAGAAGTTGGTCACCGTTGGCAGCTGTGGCACTGGCAGCCTGGCCACAGTGAACAGACAAAACACAAAACACAAATTCCCCTCTGTAGCCTTGGGGAAAGTGCCATTAGCGAGCACCTATGAAGGTCGGCACGGCACACGAGGTGGGGTGGTGGCCAGCAACACGCCCGGCCGCCTTTGTCTCTCCCCAGTGGCGATGTTTGCTACACATCGCACCAGGTACTCATTTGAGGCCGAGTCGACGTACATACATACAATCACGCAAAGACAAATATTTCCCCCCCCCCCCCCCACCCCCATATAGTTCTGAAGACTATTTGGGCAAAGGCTATGAAGGCCTAGCACACACACAAGACATGTTCTACCCATGATTATTCCAAAATGTTTTTGTATGTGGATTTGTAAAAACAGGCTCACCCGGCAGGTATATTCCCAACCACTGTAACTCCAAACTTTTCTTCCAGCCGGGCGTAAAAGGAGATGACGGTAGCCAGAACAATCTAAAACAAGGGGCGCACGTTTCATCCGGGTTTATACTTTGAATTCAGTTGCCCGGACTCATTTGACAATAGGGCACGTCAAAGTGCCCTATTTTGGCGTGATTGTAATCACGCCAAAATAGGAATTTGCAGGAAAAAGTATGTGTCCGTTGGCATGCTAATTTCTATCATCCGTGCAAAGAACAGAACAAAATGTTATGTTTCGGTATAAAATGTCAGCGGGACATGTGTTATCTTATTTTAATTTATATAGCGCCGTGATGAAGGCGTCGAACAAATAAGTAGCAATTTGTACAGCAGAAGTGTGATGGGATGAGATGAGTTGATGAGGATGGCAGTGCACGGTGAAAATGATGACACGTGAAATAAACAATGATGAAAGCGACGATAAGTGGTTCATGATGAGTGGTTCATGATGAGTTGTTCATGATGAGTAGTTCATGTTGAGCGGTTCACGGTGAGCGGTTCACGATGAGTGATTCATGATGAGTGGTTCACGATGAGTGGTCCATGATGAGTGGTTCATAATGAGTGGTCCATGATGAGTGGTTAATGATGAGTGGTTCACGATGAGTGATTCATGATGAGTGATTCACGATGAGTGGTCCATGATGAGTGGTTCATGAGTGGTTCATGAGTGGTTCACGATGAGTGGTTCACGATGAGTGGTTCGTGATGAGTGGTTCATGATGAGTGGTTAATGATGAGTGGTTAATGGTAAGTGGTTCACGATGAGTGGTTCATGACGAGTGGTTCATGATGAGTGGTTCACGATGAGTGGTTCGTGATGAGTGGTTCATGAGTGGTTAATTATGAGTGGTTCACGATGAGTGGTTAATTATGAGTGGTTCACGATGAGTGGTTCACGATGAGTGGTTCACGACGAGTGGTTCATGATGAGTGGTTCACGATGAGTGGTTAATGATAAGTGGTCCATGATGAGTAGTTCATGATGAGTGGTTCACGATGAGTGGTTCACGATGAGTTGTTCATGATGAGCGGTTCATGATGAGTGGTTCATGATGAGTGATTCACGATGAGTGGTTCACGGTGAGTGGATCGTGATGAGTGGTTCATGATGAGCAAGTGCGCTGAATGGGCAGGGAAGTTTGGAAGAGGGATGGTGTTTATCGATGAGGCGGAAGGGAGTAGGGAAGAGGAATTTGGGTAAGCGAGGGATAAGGGAGTGTTTTAAGAGAACAAATTGTTTTAAGTGAAGCCGAATGTTTGGCACGTAGGGGCAGCTTGTTCCAGTGTAAAGGGGGCTAGAAGCCTTTTAGATCCATTGCTTCGAGCACTCTACTCTTATTTGTTGATTTACCCAGTACGTAATTTTCATTAAAAAAACAAGGGTCAGTACAATTTCTTCCCAAATCGAGAAATGTCGGCATCATGTTGCGGGGAAGAAGCACTCTCATTTAACTTCATAAAGTAATGACATTCGTCAACAAATGAAAACTAATAAAAAAAACGATGGTTTGAGAGTGCACATCCTTGATTCTGACATTGCACTTGCACAGTGCGTGAAACCTCGGAGTTATCGCCGATTCCGAGCTCTCCGGTTCAATGGCGACTCGTTCATTTCCGTTCTCCTTCTCACATTGTTGTTGTTACTTTCTTACCCCGTGCTCCCTCACTGAACATCTGCGAAAAAGAGCTTCAAAGCTCATCGGATTTCTCCAGAATAAATTAACACTGCGATGCCGATTCTCTCAATGAGGCAGCACCTGGCACCTCCGCGTGCACAAAATTCTCCCGTGCTCTGAGCCGAGCTATCACCGAGACCTTTATCCAAACCTCCCATCTTTCCTCTCTGGCTTTCTCAAATCCCTCACCTCCAAACTCCTGCTGATCCGAATTATCACTGCCATACTTCTCGTCCGTACTGGTATACATGAACTACATTATCACATTATTCTGATCTCTCTCTTCTGGTTCCATATCCGATCCTAAATCAACTTGGAGAACGCACTTACAATGTTCAACATTCTCTGTTGGATAACCCCTCCCTACCTCTTCCCTCTAATCTCACTCTACTCCCCTCCATCAACCTTCAGTTGAAGCCCCAGTCAACCTTTGTTCAAGCGGAAGTCGATCATTCCCCTCCACTGCCCCTAGGATCTGAAATGTCCTGTTCCTGGCCATCTGTGCTGTTGACTCCCTGACACCCGTTCATATCATTCCTCACAACTTTCCTCTTGTCCTCTACATATTTTTCTCTTGATAAAACAAACTAATCATCAATATCTTCTTTCTGCCAAATGTCATGTCCCATTGGCTTGTCCAGAACCTTGAGATGTGGTTCCATTTAGATGCTATATCAATCCAAATTGTATTTTAACAGAATAACTTTACATTTTGATTGAAAGCTTTCGTGACTGCAGTAATTCATATTCTTAGCTCTTTCGGTAAAGTCACGTTGAAGGGAAACAATAAAATAATAATATATATATAAAACAATACAAATTCTCACGACGTTTCGACCATAACACAAACGGTCATCATCAGGTGTGAAAAAGCCAACGGCAAGAAACATTTGAAAGAAGTGGCGGTTTGTATTTATTTATTTTTAAACGTTAGCACCATGGATAGCGATTTGACAGTTTGTTTCGAGGGACGAGTCCATCTATGTTCGGAAAAGAGGAGGGGGGAGACGAAAATTTTATGTATGCAGTCTGAAAGCCACCGTAAGCGTGAACAATCAATTAAGACCTGAAATGGTTTATCAAATCCTTCCAATGATTGCTAAGCCAGAATCCATCTTCTCGATTGAAATTGTCTCTGTGCTTGTATATGTGGATAGCCTCATGAACGAATCTCTCATGGTAGCCAGATGGCTTACAAAGAACCTCTGTCTTGGAGAAGTCAATGTCATGTGAGCCTACTGAATTATAACAATGATCTGCCATGGCCGAGGTGTTGGTCCTACCGTGTTTAAGGTCTGCTTTGTGTTCACGAATGCGGTCCGAGACATGGCGTTTGGTTTCTTCAATGTAACTACTACCACAGAGGCAACTTAGTTTGTAGACACCAGGGTACTGAATGTCCGGAATCACATCTTTTACAGACGGAACCAGATCACGGATTTTATGTAATGTGTTGAAACGGACCTGGATCTTGTGTTTATTCAAGATTTTTGAGATCTTTATTGTGATCCCTGCAATGTAGGGTAAAGTGATGGTTTTGAAAGGCTCCTCAAGAGGGTCCTTCTTCATGGTTTGAGTGATAGCTTTGCGGATTGTATAGTCGGAGTAACCATTAGCCTTAAGAGCTTGGTGTACGTGCTTGAGTTCACTGCCTATGTGTTCCTGGTCGGATATGCATTGGGCTCTATGGTACAGAGTCTTGATGAGAGAATTCTTCTGTGATGGATGGTGGTGGGAATCCGGTTTCAGATAAGCATCCGTATGGGTAGCTTTCCTGTAGACAGAGTGGCTCATTGAAACCGGATTCCCACCACCAGTAGGCGCATATGACATTGACTTCTCCAAGACAGAGGTTCTTTGTAAGCCATCTGGCTACCATGAGAGATTCGTTCATGAGGCTATCCACATATACAAGCACAGAGACAATTTCAACCGAGAAGATGGATTCTGGCTTAGCAATCATTGGAAAGATTTGATAACCATTTCAGGTCTTAATTGATTGTTCACGCTTACGGTTGCTTTCAGACAGCGTGCATTAATTTTTGGTCTCCCTTTTCAGAACATAGATGGACTCGTCCTTCTAAATAAACTGCCAAATCGCTGCGCGTGGCGCTAACGTTTTTTATAAATAAAGAAATGCACCGTTTGAAAATAAATAAATAAGGACCGACACTTCTTTCAAATGTTTCTTGCCGTTGGTTTTTTCACACCTGATGATGACCGTTTGTGTTATGGTCGAAACGTCGTGAGAATTTGTATTGTTTTATATATATATTTTATTATTTTATTGTTTCCCTTCAACGTGACTTTACCGAAAGAGCTAAAAATAAGAATAACTTTACTTTGGTTCTGCTGAAGAATGGTTTAGCTTGCACTTTTAGAAAATAGTAGCATGCTAGAGGGTTTTATAACTGTTCTTGAGTTCTCACCAGGAGCAGTTCCACAGGAATTGGAGCTTTGAGCTTACTCTTGTACCGCTGGTTTATCTCTCTCACTGGAATGAGCACAGTCAAACACACCAGCGACGTCACCAGCTCTGCTATATTTGTGTTCGGTAGCTTCTGAAAAATATCAACCATTGTCTGAAAAACATAAAAAACACAAACAAGTAACAATATATCATTGTACTTCCGATTAACTCATTAAATATTTTAACGTTCGGTAACATTTTATCTTGAAATTATTTGTCAATGTGGCGTGCCAGAAAAGAACGTTCTTTATGGTATGAGCAGAGCATTGGCCGTTTTCCTCCTCCAACTGTGAGTGGTCATTGAATCGTCAAGCTTCTCCCGCGAGTCAAGGCCCAGGCTGTAGCTTTCGCGGGCAATGGTGTAACAAGGCCAGTGGTTTAATTGTCTCTCAAAGTTTGAAAAGACTTCAGGACCAAAGCAGAGTGCGTTGTTGGTGCGAATATGATCTCGCCACTTTTCACGTAAAACATATCACTTTTAGCTTCTTTGGTTCTTTCGGTAAAGTCACGTAGAATGAGAATAAAATAATAAATTGATAAAATAAAATAACACAATAATATTCTCACGACGTTTCTCATTCTACGTGACTTTACCGAAAGAACCAAAGAAGATGAATCATTGCAGTCACGAAAGCTTTAAATCGAAAAATATCACTTTTAGGTTTTTAGAATTTGTTGAACAGCACTGGATCCACGGACCCACATAGCACCACTCCACACCGTAAGCTCCAGCACCACACACACGATCACAAGAGTGCCCCCAAAGCTCGCTCTATATAACTGGAGAGCTCGCCAGTCTAAAAACAATCCTTCCAGGGCTGCTTTTGGCACAGCTTCTGAAATATTTACAAACTATCATAAGTGAGTAATGCTTACTCTACTGCATGAAACTCTTGCCGAATGCAGGATCCATCGCACACGGATGTACCCGGTTATATGCTGGATTTAATTTTAATTAAAACAAGCAATTAAAATCCACTATAAATCAATCATCAAAGGCAGCTTGGGCCACTTCGCTTGCTGATTCAGCAAGCGCATGCATAACCGCCAAAGAGCCCTGGACAGTAAAAAAAAGGAAGGCCCTCCTCATTGAGCTCCCATGTTGAGCTCAATTGCGACTGATAAGCATTGGAGTGGCAGCCAAACACGCTATAACCCATTCGACCGGAATGAGGACCTGCACAACCTACATTCAAGTCCCTGTAAAGGAGAAGAAAACTTCATAACAAGGCATGCGGGAGCGCAGTTCCCACAGGCATGAGGGGGCAACCACTTGAAATAAGAGGCAGTTCGCACTTTGCAGGCAATTGTGGTGAATCAAAGCCCAGTTAGAGCTATTCCTTAATACGCTTTTTATTTTCAAATAAAAAAAAAGGATGCCAACAATTACAGCGCTCTCTCTAAAAAAAAAAAAGAAAATCCCACAGAATGTGTCGGTGGTGTTCCTGGCGCAGTGCGGTTGGCTGCAGCAGGTGGTCTGCGTTGGTACCATGAAAATTGAAGCGGGCCCAGAGAACCGTGGCACCTGCAGGCCCAGCATGTTCTTGATTTGGGACACGAGGACGTGGATGGCGGCCGCGTTGGTGAAGGCGCTCACCAGTGGATCCGACAGGTAGATGGCCACGAATCCCAGCTGCAGGCTGAACATGATCAGCTGGTGGAACGTCACGGTGAAGGGCATTGGAACGTCGCCGGGTTCGAGAGGGGAGCGTTGTTTCTGTCGTGCGCGGCGGAAGCGAAATGTTTCCCTTCACCGCTTCTTCTTCCACACCGCTAGGCTGGGAAATTCCCTCCAATCGTCTATCTTACCCAACACATTCGAGGAATGTGTTACTTCTTATCAGTTACAATTTCAATGGTGCTGCGTGTTGCTGACCACTTGGAATGTGTATCATTTGGGGCTGTGCTCAGCAAATGTATTCTAGAATATATATATAACAGGAAATCCATTGCTGCTTTGTTCAACTCTTTTCCTTACACCTTTCATTTTACATTTTACTATTCACCTAAAGGATTTCATATGAATCTTGATTTGAAGCTTTCATGACTGCAGGAATCAATACTCTTTGGTGCTTTCGGTAAAGTCGCGTAGGTAGAAAAATAATAATAGATCACGACGTTTCGATCGCCACACAAGCAACCGTCTTCAGGTGGGAGTGAGAAACTATTCACTCCTACTCACTCCCACCTGAAGACGGTTGCCTGTGTGGCGATCGAAACGTCATGATTTGTTATTTCCTACCTTCGTTACTTTACCGAAAGAACTAAAGAGTATGGATTTAATATGACTGAAGAAAAACATGCTCCACCCATAAGTCATCAATGGTCAATGTCAAATTACGTACTTATACGACGCTTCCATGCACAATACAATAATTTACATGCACACGTTAAACATTTGAATATATAATGCACCGCATTCATATAAACGATAACAATAAAATAGTTAATTCTGCAGACCTTGGTCAATTCATTGCTGGATGAAGGCCTCTCGAGGCCACGTTGGTCATGGAGATTATTTGACCATACTTCACCATCCTGGCTCGTGCAAGTTGGCGAAGGAGGGGTGGGCCGGACTGATTCGGCTATCACGGTTACCATGTTAGGCTACCGGGTTCACTCCGAAATGCAATGCTAACCACTCTGCCACTGCTCCACGATCAACGAAAACACCGAGGCATCCCTACTTACTCACAAGCGAGAACACTGATGTATACTCGCTCACGCTGTGCTGTAGCTACAATAAGTAGATGTACAGCCTACCGTGATGAACACGATACAAATACTGTGTATAGCACAAACGCTATATTGCCGGAGAAGGCTCTTGACCATCGCAACAGGTTCGCTGGTTTGTGTTGTTTCTGAAATTAAAACCAGCCCAGAGTTGTCCTTGTTCAAACAAACACTTCTGGGAAAGATTGACCTGAGAGAAGCACTGTTTTTTGGGAGTTAATAACTTCTGTGAACTTGTTTATTGTGTTAGCCGCAATTCGCAGAGGCAGCAGATATTTTCGCGCGGTGGCCAGAAGGCTGACTGGCGCCCCAGTTGACGTTTTAATTCCATACCCAAAGGTGGTCAGCTGGCCACAATGCAGAATTATCGTTTATTGGTTTTATTTTCAAAATCAAATTGTGTATGATTGATGAACGCAGAAACAATTCAAATGACCGAAGCACCTATTTCGGGTCCTATAAATATCGGCATCTTTAAAAAAAAATTACTGCGCAGTAAAATATGGTAAGAGCTTCTGGTACAAGGCACACGTGGTTGGGCCAACGCGGAGTCATCTCTGAAACTGTGGATCAGCTACGACGGCTGTAAGTTTGCGAACGAGGAGAGGTCAAAAGGTGTCACAGGCACCTGAGTTAGGGCAAGGCCACGGTCCAGACTGCGTCTGGAACCGCGGACAAAATTCAGTCCGGCTGGAGGCTGCGTTTTGCAATGCCGTGGACAGCTGAGGCAAGTGGCACCAACCTTTCATTTCATTTGCAGATATTTAAGAGCTAAATTGTGTTTATCCCGTAAGCTCTGACTAGCTATCAACGTCACAAGCTTCATAATGGCTGTATGTATGTTTAACTTCGTTTGCACCGTACGTAGCCAACCATGCTATTTGGAGGCGTGGGGGAATGACAACAAACTAAGCACAACAATCAGTTCTAAATAAATGGGTTTACGATCTATATTTAAAAGTGCATGAGCTCCAGTGGCTGCCTCATATCGGAAGGAAGATCGTTCCACTACGGCTGCAGAAGTGCAATCAAAAGCACGCGATGCAGTGACCGTCTTCGTTCGATGGTTAATTAAAAGCCGCTTCTGCAAGGATAACCAAAGTTCACGTGGATGGTTTATGCCCCGTGACAAGATCAGCAAGGTATTGTGCTTTGCGTGTGTAATGAGTGCGACCTGAGTCTGCAATGCGTTCAGGCCTCTAAGCTGGGTTGCCTTGCTCGTGTTATCCCCATAGTGAGCGAAATCCGTCGAGGTGCCTCAAATTGAGCCTCCGGTGCCAGGTTCTGCAAAAGACAGAACGTGTTCACTCCCCCTGAGATGGAGTTGTACACCCCTAGCTGCCACTGCTATTCAGTGGCCTAAAATATGGCTCTAGGGTTTGGTGTTATAATTTATTTATGTAGTTTATTGTAAAAAAAATTCGCTCACAGTCCCTGTGATCACTGTTACATTGCATTTATGGCTTTTATTTTGGTGATTTCGAAAACGTTTTTTAGTTTGGCCATGTTTTTGTTTATTGTAGTACGGAGTTAGACTGATGGCCTAAATCTTAGTTGTCTTGTGGTTGTTGTTGTTTGACTTGCATCCCAGTGGGATTTTTGCACACAGCGTTGGTGTACGGTGCTATTTCAGGAATATTTAGATGTTTTTTTTTTCCTGGATTTTCTGTTTGCACAGTCACATAATCACTTTAAGATGTTTTCTTGTTCATGTTTTTTTTGTTTGTTGCGGTTGCACCCGATTCAAGACCCGAATGGCTCACAGGGCTATACCAAATAAATGGACCTATGGAACTATGGCTTCAGAACGTCTACTTACTCCGCTCGTTCCCAACCATTCGCTTGCAGTTGGCATCCCCTATCAGACCTATCAAGAGTCCGTGTACCCCTACCAGCACATATGTGTAGTGGAGTAGAAAATACACATGGGTAAATTGGCCATATACAGTACATACAAACAGTGTGGGCCATGTAAGGTCGGGCAGGTTGATGAAGTCACGGGTGGCGTAAACAAGACAAAGTAATTAAGGGAGTCAAGGGACGAGGGCTGTGATTGGTCGAGAGGCTGTTAGCGTTAAGTGGCGGCGTCACGGAGTCTGGGCCGTTGGACAGGTGCGGAGCTGGCGAGAAAATGCCAGCGAGGCACATGGCAATTAATTAAGGCTGATTGGAAAGGGGATAAAAACGCTAGGTGATTTGGACGACGGGAGAGTTGGCGAGAAGTGGAGACAGCAGCGGGTAGAGAGATGCGAAGAGTGGAAGCCGGTAAGTGTTAGTGGGAACTAGATTGAGAGCCGAACCCAGAGGACAATAAATAGCGATAGCGAGAGTTAGCGTTAGCAGAGTGGAGATTACGGTATAGGTAGGTAAGGAAGAGATAGACAAGTCACTGTGTGTGAAGAGATAGACAAGTCACTGTGTGTGAGGAGATAGACAGGTCACTGTGTGTGAAGAGATAGATAGAGTCACTGCGTGTGAAGAGATAGACGAGTCACTGTGTGTGAGGAGATAGAGAGAGAACCACTGTGTGTGCGGTGAGAGAAGAAGAGACTGTGTGGAGACAAGGATTATGAGCGGACGGTGCTGAGGGGAATTCGAGTGTTTGAGTTGGCAGAGCGCGGAGAGGAGAAATTATAGTGTGTGTGTGTGTGTGCGAAATTATATAGTGTGTGTGTGTGAAATTATAGTGTGTGTGTGTGTGCGGAACGATGGAAATAAAAGTGACGGTGGAAGAAAGGCGATTGTCGTCCGAGTGAATCCAAGGCACTACATTTGGTGTCAGAAAAATACGTAACACGCCACGATGTAAAAAAAAGCGGCAAAGAAAATAAATGTGCCAGTGGACTCCGGCGGCGACAGCAACAACGACGATGTACAGCCCGGCCAGATGGCCGGCAGTACTCCTGACCGGGACAGCGGTTCGGGTGGTGCTGAGGGCCTGGGATCGCCAGAGGATTGGCGAGTCCTCATGACCCAGTGGGAGGCCAGGATGGAGAAGTTGTCGGAGGAGTTCCAGAACTTTTTGACGGAGAACCGCATTCAACAACCAGTACCGGGTCTACCGCCGGAGGTTGCCGCTCAGCCGGAGCGGGTGGAGTACTCTGACGACGAAGACGACCGGTCGGCGGGACCGTCACAACAGCTACATGTACAGCGATTTGAGGCCAAAGTGGGAGATTGGACGGCGTTCATACGAAGATTCCGTGCGGCTTACGAGTCCCTGAATTGGACGGAGAGTACCGCGTTACGAGCACTGCCGATGGCATTGGATGATGACTCCTTGGCGACTTTTAACGGACTCCCTGCCGCTGTCAGAAAAACATTGGACGGTGCTATTGCGGCAATGAGGAAAGTCTACGAGCCGCAGTCGGTCGCCAAACGTCGATTTCAACAGAGGAAACGGGAGGCCACGGAGTCCCCCCTGGCATTCCGCAGCGCCTTGCTGGCCCTCGCCCAGGTTGCGTACCCGGCGATGGACGAGGAGGGCTGGGACTCCCTGCTGCAGGAGAAGATGCTACAGCTGGCGAAGGAGCTGAAAGTCGTCTTGTCACTCCTGGACAAGGACAATGACGACGACGTGTCGTCGTTGCTGATCGCCAGGAACATACAAGTCAACCTTGACATACGAGACGAACCAGCGGCGGCGGTGGCGCAGCCGTCGCTGACGACCCCTGCCGGGGCCGGGAGCACGGTGGCGGTGGCGGTGGATGAAACGCCGCCGATGGCAGCAGCGGCCGGGGTGTCGACCGGAGAAGGACGGCGTCGTCCCGGCGTGTATGGAGACGGCGTGCATCGGACATCCTACGAGTGCGGGCGGAGGGGTCATCTCGCCCGCGACTGCTGGAGACGGAGAGGTGGTCCTCCAAGGGCACCGAACAACTACAGCGGGCGGTTCCCCCAAGACTAAGGATCCCGGGTGAG